CACGTGGTATATGAAGATTCAGATGATAACGTCTGTTATTTGACCCAGACATCTAATTCTTCACAGGTGTACACGAGTTTCTCATGATTCCACTCCACACAAGCACTGTGCCCCTCAGGTATTTCTCTGGATTGCTCTGAATCAATACTTGTGTCCATATTTCCACAGCTTGAAATTATTTCTCAACGTTCTCACAGTTCAGCTCAATACACTTAGCATATGGCTAAAATGCAAATGCTAAACAGTAAAAGATCCTTCCAAACTCCACTGACTAGCTGTTGAATTGTGTGGTACAAATGTCACTCACATGTACTAGAGGTTAACTACCCAGTAAACACACTTCCACTCGAAACAGCTTCATTTATATCGTGTCCTCTGTGATCCTCTTAGTACTGCTGCAGTTCTATAGTCTGTTGTGTGACCCTGTACACAACCAGCTGGTGTGCTGAACCTTTATTGTCATGGTAACAATAATAAAAACACAGTTGATGTCACAGAGTGGTCACAGATTGGTTAGTTTTTGGCAAAAACACTAGTTCCTTCAGAAAAGATGGTGGTTTGGGTTGAAATAATTACTTACACGACCTTTATTGCCATGGCAACAATGGTAAACATGTGCTTATGGTTGTGGTCCGGTCGTGGATGATCACTGACCATCAGTTTGAAGCAGGAAATAACTGTGAGCGCCTGTATGAACGTCAACTCATCCATCATTGTAACATGGATTTGATCAAACTATATATTACACACCTCTTTTTATTACACACCTGTATAAATTCCATAAAAAAACTAATATGGGTCTCTTGGGAGTTGCAGGAGAAAAAACTAAGCAAAATATATAGAATAAATATATCTGTCTATCAGTGTAAGCAATGTTTTTATAGCATATGGGCATTTTGTTTTTCTTTGTTGTAGCCTTGATTGATTAAGAAAACAATAATTTAATTGGAGCTGTACAGTTAGGAAACAAGGAATACTGTTGTCTGAAATATGAACTCTACCCATGTTTATCTCTGTTTAAAACACAGATACTGTGTCATATCCATACAGTCTATGGTCACATCATGTGATATGTTCCAATAAAACTACTGCAGTATAGCTCACACTGTGAGGATGACTACAACTTCTACAATTTGGTACTAAATCCGTTATAGAAAATACTCGGTCATGATGACCTGTATTTTTCTTCAAAAAATGTTCACATAATTCCAAATGAAAATGTAGAACCTACTTTCTACGGTCTCACAAGCGCAGCTCAGTGATAAGAAGCAGTTTAAGATTGGATAAATATTTAATTAATTGGATCAGTGGGTAAGTCCGTCATCTGCCTTGGGATGCCAGAGTGCTATGGAGCAAAAACCTTCTCACTGCCACTGGAGAGAGAAAGAAGAAGCTGGTAAATGAAAACAATCTTTTAGATTTTTGAGCTTCACCTCTTCCAATATATGTTTTTCACTATGTGATTAATAATCCCTGAATATTTTCAAGGCAAGTCATGAATCACTGTGTGTAAGTGATTGAGTAATGGGTTTCAATGAAACACCTCAAACTATCTGAGCATTGTGTCTTTGTTGTCACAAGCACAAGCTTTGATGCAGTATCTTTCACTCTCTGACCGTCACAACAGATCAATACAATGTTTGACCTGCTGGTTAATAATTAATTACTGTGCATTGATTGTGGACTCATTGCATTCCCAGGGTTTGGGCGACCGATTACTGTCACTCATAAAACCAAACACTCTCTGTTACACAACGTTGGGGCCTTTGCAGTCATTATTCCAGCAGTTGTTGCCACAGGCTCACCTTTGTGTACCACTCAATGTCATGCTTTCCTCATTAGTCTCAATACAGCGACTCGTTAAACAATGTGTCACTGTTTATTTTCTATTATTGTAAAAGAAACCTGAAAAAGGTGTTTTATGTTGGTTGCCGAGGTTTCATTATTTTGTTGATGATGTCTGTCTACAAATGACATTAAATAAAACCAAGGACAGATGATTATAATTATTTTTTTAAAGTAATTTATTCTGACAATGTTGACAAGGTAGCTCAAAGTAAATACTGGAATACACTGGACATTTTTAATGATCTTAAGGATAAATGGGCAAATTCATTTTCTTTAGGCCCAACACAATCTAGCAAGGTGAAGAGAATCAGAAAGCTTTATGTGTGGGTGGATTTAAAAGACCAGAGAAGGAATACACCAATTTAGGTAAAGTTTCTTTGGCTTAATCTAAACTGCCGTCAGTCTGGTCATCGAGATTAGAAAAGCGCTGTGTAAATACAGACCTTTTTCAAAAGCAGGGCGGGACAGGAAATAACGTGTACAGGGTAATAAGAATAAACCTGCAGCAGCTAGCATGGCTAGTGAGATAACAACATTGGGCGACAGGCGGGGTACATCCTGGCCAGGTCACCAGGTCACGCATTACACCAATTTTTAATTTACAGCAACCTGCATATTTTTGGACTGTGGGAGAACACGCTAACTCCACACAAAAAGACAATTTTTTGTGTGGATTTGAACAGGGAGCCTTCTTGCTAACCACTATACCACAGTAATCTGAAAGGTTGTAAATATACAGCTTGTTATGGAACGCTTCATCGTTATCCTCTGTCCGTGTCCTTAAACTCCCTTCTGCTTGCACCATGTTGCCATGACAGTATAAAACAAGAATATATGTAAAACATCAATATTTGCGGATCAGGAGATCAATCACACGCTCTCTCTCTCTAACCAGCTCCAGAGCGCTGAGTTTTCACAAGTCAAAGATAAATCAGTGAATGATCATTGATCTACTGGTCAGGATGTGATTTTCAACTCCAAGTTTCCAAGACAAGTTTATGAGAGAAATCAGAGACTCTCTTTCTTTTACGTCCATGTCCATTGGACCATGTCAGATTTATGTGGAGGTTTCAGATGGCTGTTTGATCTCTGGGCTGTCTGTTAAAAACAATGTTCAGCTCACCAGTCAGAGCACATCAGCGCCCTGGAAGTGTGTCACGTTCACTGGCCTGCAGCTGTTACCTCTCCCCATTGAGACTGCCATGGACCATGTGACCAGCACAGTAAATGATAGAGTGTCATTCATGTTATGTTCGACATATTCACACAGACCACACAACAAAAACAGAAAAACACAACCATACTCCAGCTATTTGAGGCAAATCATTTCCATATGACGAGCAGGAGAGGTAAAAAAAAAAGACCACATGAACACTTCCAGCACTCAGATGAAATGGGATGGAAAGCTGCCTTTCATGCACTGGCCTATCCAGGCCACTGGCCTTGCAGCCTGTGGTAAAGTGCCAGATACTGCATTTTATCTGAAAAGGCAGTGACCCTGCAGTGCCATGTGGTTCTCAAAGAGGACGGCCCATTTATTTGCATATTGTAGATAATGTTAACGTTAAACATTGACAACGACTCTTTAGTCTGTGTCAAATTGGTTTGTCTACTTTTAGATCTACAATGTTTTACATTTCCAACAGCATCATGCACTCAAACACTTGAGGACCAGTCATGGAAGTTGAGTTAACTTTTGCACAAAAAGTTAAGTCAACAAAATGATCTCTGAGCTCATCGATAAGACTAAAGATGGAGCTTATTGAGAGACGTTGGTCACTTGCACTGAGAAAGAAAGGGACCACAACGTCTTAAGAGTTGTTTTGTCTATTTTTTAAGGAGTTTAAATGTTTTTAATTAAATGACTTCTTCAAATGCATGAAGCCCACATAACATAGAAGAACATTTATACACTGTTAACTTCATAAATTCATATTGATGTATCGTCATGTCAGCTGATTATATACTTCATATCCAAGTCACTGTGCTTAAGTAGGCTACAATTTTGAGTTATGTGTACTTTCCTTTAATATTTCCATTTCACGTAACTTTACACTTTCTCTATTTCCACTGCATTTCAAAAGGGAACATTGTTGAAGTCATTTCTTTTACAGATTCAGATTTACACCAAACATATGATCTATAAATAAAATATGAATCTTAAATTATGATCATTAATCTATTCAGTTACATCCAAAATATTCAACAGGTTCTAAGTCTTTTTAAGTATATTGGGCTGATTTTCCTCCTGTAGGTTTGTTGAAGTACTATTCTGATTTCAGAACTTTTACTTTTTATGAGAAGAGGTGAAATACATTTTCAGTCAAAGTGGCAATCGTACAGTGTAAAATACTGTTACAATTAAAAGTCTTTTATTCCAAACTTTATTAAGTAAAAGTACAGCAGCATGAAAATATACTATGCTATAAACTATACTATATACACTATACCATAATCGGATCAATACACTAGAGCTGAATCGTAATTATTGTCTTGTGTACATCACATTCATGTTGCAGCTGAACACCCCTCACCTCACCCTCCCCTTCTAAACATGAAAAAGAACCTGTGGTAGCCTTTAATTGTCATAAAAACTCAAAAGGTGTTTAGTTTGTCAAGTCTGGAATAATGTAAAAAACATGGCGGCCTCTGTAGAGAGGGTCCCCTCGATGTAAATATAAAGTATTTGAATATAAAGGGTCTTTTCTGGAGTAAAGAAAACTACAATTCATACAATTTAGATGAAACGAACTAGTGAAAAGGATTAGGGTTACTACTACGACTACTACTACTTCTACTACTACTACTACTACTTCTACTACTAATAATAATAATAATTATAATGATAATAGTAGTCACAAAGCCTTCTTGAGTCAAGTGTCTTCGTTTTGTCTGTTTGGAGAACCAGTGTGTTTTTTAACTTCTGTTTCACAAAGTTCAAGCAAATGTACTTAATGTAAAGACACAGAATTCAAATTCACATTTACCTGAGGCAGTTTTTCTCTCATCGATCCATAGTGAAATGAATTTATGAGTTAAAGTCTTCTGAGGAGTCACCAGCTGTTTGGACCAATAAACCTGAGACTCCCTGAGAATGTGTGTCCATTCTTTATGAATAAAGACACAGGCTGGAGTGTGGGGGGGATTAAACGCATTGAGATCGCTGCGTAATCCGGTTTGAAACGCGTGCAGGCTGGCGGGTGGGGAGGAGCCTTGAGACCCGGGACATGGTGTGGGGTCGGTAGGGTTTCCCCTCATGGAGCAGCAGGAGGACGCATGCGCTCCTCTCCACCGCCGTGTCTCCATCCATCCACAGCACAGGAGCGGAGGGTGAACTTGTCGTGTTACCTGCTTAAAGGCGCCGCCAGCTGGGTGCGCTCAGCTCAGCCTGCTCACCGGATACGTTGACTGTAACACTTTTCTCTTCCTCCAGGAAAGTTGCAAAAAGAGGGGGTTTTACGCGGAGAGGGGATTACGCACAAGTAGAGGATTAATGGGCAGAAGAAGCGGATTATAGCGAGGAACCAGAGTGTGTGTTGATGGTGAAGATGCGGAAACAACAAGGGAAGCGACAACAAACTGGATTTTGAACCTTTGGGATACTGAGACGCGCCGGGAGCGCAACGTCATGCCTCGGCTCAGGAGCAGGATGAAGATGATCCAGTTTGTTGGAGACACATGCGCCCAAACAGCCTGAAGTTTCCTGGACTGCTGTGCTATGCCTCGGCTGACCTCTCCCACACCATTCCGCGGGACTGACGGGTTTGGCTGGACCTGAGTCGCCATGTCAAAAGTCATTCAGAAGAAGAACCACTGGATTACCAAAGTGCGCGAGTGCGCGGTTGTGCGGGACGCCTGCGGGGAGCTGAACGTGGAGCTGCGCGGCGGAGCGGAGAATGGAGAGTTCCCGCAAATCGGGCCACTCCGGGAGGATGCGGTGGATTATCAGGAGGGTAAACTCTGCGAGGGGGAGCTGCTGCTGGAGGTGGAGGGGCTGCCGGTGTCTGGATTACCCCTGTATGACATTTTAGCTGTGATGAAGTGCTGCCCGGGTCCCGTCAGGTTCAGGACTGTGCGTCAAGGTAAGAGAAGAAGGGAGTGAGAGAGTCACCAGTATGTGTGTATGTGACACACACACACACACACACACACACACACACACACACACACACACACACACACACACACACACAGGAGACTTACTCTAACCTTAACCATAGTTACTACTTGCCTTAACCTAAACTTAACCTAAACTTAACATAAACCTTAGGACATGTTATTACATCTAAATGTAATTGTTCATGTTGTGGGGACTTGCATTTTGTCCCAATAATAATAACACGTCCCCATAATGCAATTGTGTCACAGATTTAGGTCCTCACAACTAGTAATACCTGGACCACCCACAGACAAAGTCCTGTCTCCATTCTATGACTGTAGAGGACATTACATTGATTTAGATAGATTTCCTGGAGACTTGCGTCCACCTTATTCAAGGTTACTACTCACCTAACCCTAATAATCCTAACTTTGGCCTAAACCTAAACTTACAACTTATGTTTACCTTTTTATTAATTGATTTTCCTTATGGGAAGTTGCTTTTTGTCCCCATAAGGAAGACAAGTCCAGATAATGTGACTGTGTGAACAGATTTATGTCCCAGACAAAATGGGTAATATGAGTAATACTTGGACAACACACACACGTGCACATATTTTGCAGCTATCCTTAGACCCCCAAGACATTGTAGTAGCTTCCTTTGATTATGGACAGATTAAACTGAACCTTAACCATGACCAGTCCACATTTTACCCCTAACCTTGACCAGGTACTCTTACATTCAGTCTATAGGCTTTGGTCCCTTTGAGGACAACTGGTTGTGATGATGGTCCTAATGAGGTGACCAATACGAGTATACACACACACACACACACACACATTAAGAGTTTAGAAATCCCACTGGAAGTTGTTTCATAATCACCATGTGGCACACTGTTATAAGCACACAACAAAATGGTGATTTATTTGAAGTAGGGCAGCGGAGCAGTGCTGCTGCTGCTCAGATTGTCTCCACAGCAGCCTGGAGTTTTCGCAGCTTTGACGTGAAGCTGCTCTGACAGTCCTCCTGCCCTCGTTGCTAAAGACACTGTGGGTCAGACCTGCAGCATCACAGATTAGGCCACTTATTCAGGAGCTTCATCTACAGCACAGAAAGTCTGCTGTGACATGTAAAGAAGAAAATCTCAAACCTGCTGCAACAGTTACTTGTTTAATTGGTTTTTAGATTGATAATCAATTAATCATTTAAAATTAATTTTTCAAGCATAAAAGCCAAATCATTGTAAACTGATCATGGGATTTATGTTGTTGTTGAGTCTAAACAAGATATACTCTTGGATAGATATTTTTCTCTTTTTGGACTAAATTATTAATAGAGAAAATAAATAAAATCGTTAGTTGCGTCTCTAGGTTTAATATTTTACTTTCTCAGTCTAAGATTTAAGGTTGAATTACGTTAAGGACGGACAAACTGATCATTTTATATCCTGGTTAATCTTGAACTCATCCACAATTTCAAGGCAAGTTTATTGAGACCGTGACATTTTATGACATTTATAGTCACCATAATAACATGGATCCACTCTACAATCACTAACCGACAGTATGATTGGCTGTGCTGATTGGCCAAATTCTATCACGTGTGTCTGTCATGCTTGACATATTTGATGGTGGATGAGGAGCTGAAACAGAACTCTGCGTCTGTCGTGTGGCAGTGGATTTACTCTGCACAGTCAGATATTTCTCAAAGCATCTGTAAACGACTGTCGGCACTCCCAGGAAAAATACAACAACATCTGCCCAACCACCTAAAACCTGAATCTCAGAATTTTAACTCATCAACTGAATAGATTCATTGCTTGATCATCAGAGCATTTCAGCTTCATTCTGTAAATGAATGTATTGTTTATTGTAAACCAAGGAGGGCATTGTGTGAGAGCTGATCACCACTCATGGGTAGATGGGGTTGTTTGTGGACATGTTCCCATCATGTCAGATGAGCTTGACCCACTGTCCACAGTCTGCTGCTTCTGCATCTGTCTATGAGACAGGCCAGAGGGAGCGGGACACGGCAACTCATTCAAACCTATTCTCTCTTTGTCTCAGAGTATCGTGTGAGGCGTTTGTTGTTCGACACTCTGGCTAAATCTGAACTTTCTGTGAGAGACACTCCTCGAGTGTCTTCCATTCCCTCGCTCATACACTGACACAATATCTGACAAAGCTTGTAGTGCTTCTTCTCTGGGGAAATCATTAACAGCCTTATATAACCATGGTTTAGGTCCAGCGTAGCATCATGGCATTTCTGGTCTACTGTATGTCCATTAATGGCTGTCAACGCTTGACCTCTGAAGCAGAGGTCTCAACCCCTGGGACAGGAGCTCAGCACTGCACGCTGCTTTCTGTTTGCAGAGCAGGCGTTTGTTTGACATAATCAGACCAGGCTGGCACCATTGGGAGATTTTTTAATATCCACAAACAGTTTTCTAATTACCCTGAACTCTGGTTTTTACTTTTAAATCCTACTGTGACACTCGTGTAGACATTACGGGCATCCTGAGTTGACTTCATGGCTCCGTCATTATATAGTTTCTTGCTCGAGGCAGCACATTTTCCTTGTCTCTAATTAAAGGAGAGGGGTATTCTCTGACAATTTGAGTCGCTCACAAAACCTTCATTGTGCCCCACAGTCTGCTGGGCTTCCATGCAGAACTGGCCAGGAACAGTGATCCACGCTGTCCCGCACCAGACGACAGGTTGGCAGGATTGATTGGACCTCTCTCCTTTCCTCTAGAAAGAGCTGTGGGTCTTATTACAGGAGACCACATCGCCTCTGTAGCGTATGAGGAAACCCTATCAGTGTGCACAGGTAGGGAGGTCACTGCTGTGGTGTACTACAGCGCCTACAGGTGTGTTCTCCCACTGAGGAATGCAGAAAGAAAAAAAAACCCCACCTGAATGAAATCTGAGCATTCCTGTGGAAAAGGTGAAACATTACCCTCCTGTGGTTTTGGCTTTTTATTAAGCTCTTCAAATAACACTTCAGATCGTGATGGAATGAAAGGGATTTGAGAGCATTTTATTTGTACAACAAATATATAATCAATGTGTTCTGTTTTAATCCCATTGGCCTGGCAGAGAATATACACGTTACTAGATTTGTATTATTCCAGTGGTTTTCAAAGTTTGACACTAAGACTCACCTCAAACAATTGAGGTTACAAGAGAGTAAATGGTCTCTATGTTTTAGTGTAATTCAGCATAATTTCACACATTGAATTAAGTAGGTTCTGCTGTGGCACAACAGGTTGTAGCCTTTTTTTTTTTTTTTCTTTTTTAAACTGGCACCGTTAAACGTTAAAATGAGCTATCAGTAGTCCCGTACAGAAAACATTCACTGGAATATTTGGACATGAAAGAAAACTTAAAATCTTGATAATTCTCATGCAAGGTTATTTGTTAAAAGAAACATGTTGGTTTCTGTGATTTCTAAGGAGGTTTATGGTCTTTTCCTCACAATTGACATCACAGACATCCTCAGAGAGTCTGCACTGAATGTAAACGTCATATCATGTCTTTGTGGTCAGATTTGAATGACTTATGAACCTGAGAGCTTCTGTGTACACAGTGGCTGCTTTTAGACATGCACTGAACTCATGCACTGGACATCGTCCTGCAGTTTTCCAGGGGGCCGTATGTAAGAGCATAAATGTCTGAGTCAGTTGTCCCGAGTTTTTCCTGCCTGCCCTCTGTAATCAAATTTTTAGCCCGTGTGAGAACACAGCAGAAAAATGTCCCATAAAGTGAGCAAGTGGCTGTTTTGATAACATTTCCAAATATATCCTGATGAAAAATAGGTGCCCCACATGAAGAAGACGCCAACTAAGACATTAACTCAAACACAATGAGATTCAAGAGCTTTTGATGATAAAGGTCAACACCATTCTCCATGTGCCGCAAACAAAAGCATGTGATGCCCTACCCATCTTTCAGATATGGGCTTCTGACTTCTTTCTTCTTTATATTTGAAAAGCAAAATCTGGAAAATGTCTTAAATTTTCCAGAGCTCATTTCTGAAAATGGCTTATGTCACACACCCTTTCAACAAGAAATAAAACGACAGCATACATCTGTCACCTTCACCCATCACAGGGTTATCTTTGCCTAATGTCTCTTCCTCTTTACCCCACAGACTCTCCCACACCCCCCGGGCGAGGCATGCTTCACAGTTTGAAAAGCTAGGGCTGATTCAAAGTACATGCACACAAAGTACACATAAATAAACCGAGTGACTGTGCAACATACCCTCATTTTCTACCCTCCAATAGACTGTGGTTACTTCATATTTGATCACATCAATCATTCTTTGTTTGCAGAGGCCCAGGTGAATGAAGAAGAGATTCATACGTTTGGCATCATTTTGAGGTTAAAGTACAGAGAGGAAGGACTTTGACGCACCTGTTTCGTGCTTATCTTTTATGAGCGGTTGAATTCAGCCCCGGGGTGAAAGGTTTTGTCGTCATTCTCTTGTCTTGGCTGCATTTGTTAAACACCTGAGAACAAAAGGTTGTGCATGAGTGTACACTGATGAGTCAAGAAACAGCTGTGAATAACTCGGTTCTAGTTGCTTTGTTTTACAACTTCTTTGTGCCTCTTCTGTTTTGTTAATCTTTGAAGTGAACCCCCCCCCCCCTCAAGCACCCAGGCTCTGGAGGTTTATGGTGCTGTGTTCTCGGATGGGTTTGACTGGTGGTCTGTCTGATCTCCAGGACAAATGGCCGTTGGTCGCCTTAGATCCTTGCATTCAGTTGAACTCAGCCAGAGCAAATGCAGCCTGTTGGATGCCTGGCATTCCTGAGATGTAGGGGCCAGGAGTTCACTGGTACACCGTGATGAAACGACAAAACCTTCATACCCCAATTTCTGCGGGGGTATTACTTTCTCACTGCTCACTCCTCAGAGAGAGGGTCGGATAGTGATTTGGGAAACCATCTGTTTAATCATTCAAACCTTCAGGGTAGTA